CTCAATACTAAAAAGAACAAAATAATCAATAATATCAGTTTTAATAATAAATTTCTTCTGTCAAATATATATACCAAATAGCATTCCGACAGATAGAAAAATACAACGTAACAAATCTATTATATTCATTAACAATACTAGAACATGCTTCATCTATTTCAAGCAATGCATTCGCATCGAAATAAGAATTAACTATAATATGTTGATTTGCAATAAACATGATGCCACAGGCTTTGTCAAAATCTTATCAACAGCTTGAAAAATTCTTCTACTTCCACTGAAAAATAAATGTATATTTATAAATTATTCATAAGACATGCATTAACTTTACACAGACTGCATTTCACCAATGTTTTTTATACTTATCTATAGTTACATATGATGCACGACGAATAACTATAATTATCTATTTTTTTAATAATTTATAAATTTTTATAATAAATTTATAAATACATTTATTTTTCAATGGAACTAGAAAAATTTTTCAAGCTGTTAAGATTTTGATAAAGTCTGCGGCAACACGTCTATTGCAAACCAACATATTGCATCCAATCCTTGTCTCAATACTAAAAAGAACAAAATAATCAATAATATCAGTTTTAATAATAAATTTCTTCTGTCAAATATATATACCAAATAGCATTCCGACAGATAGAAAAATACAACGTAACAAATCTATTATATTCATTAACAATACTAGAACATGCTTCATCTATTTCAAGCAATGCATTCGCATCGAAATAAGAATTAACTATAATATGTTGATTTGCAATAAACATGATGCCACAGGCTTTGTCAAAATCTTATCAACAGCTTGAAAAATTCTTCTACTTCCACTGAAAAATAAATGTATATTTATAAATTATTCATAAGACATGCATTAACTTTACACACAGACTGCATTTCACCAATGTTATTACACTTATCTGTAGTCATATGGTGCATGACGAATAACTATATGATGACACTCCTTTAACAAATGCATTCAAATATACTAGATTCTTGTGTGCGTATGCCTATATTACTGTTCGCGGTTATCCATACTGGTTTTTGACAGGTATTTGACGTTAAATTTTCCAGAGTGCAACATTATATAGCGTAGCACTCTTTCATTTATAAAAAAGTAAAGCTGCAAAATTCTTCCTGATATTTCTGGATAGTTGAATCTATAGAATACACAAACATATCTTATAGTAAACATATTATAGAATACATACATCTCTTTCTTATAAATATATGTATTGCGATGCTTTATTCTGTTTTTACACGTAGCATAAATTACTTTTGTAATGTTTTAGTTCTCTCTAATATAAATGAGATATACCTGATGCAACTATCCACAAGTATTACGAAGAATTTTGCATTTTTACTTTTTTATAAATGAAAGCGTACGAACACTGCACCCGGCATTTTGCAAACTTAACCTATACCTGTCAAAAGCAAGTATGGATGCATGCAAGCAGTAAAGGTGCCTTTACATGGCAGCATTAAGCGTCGAGCGTCTGCGCAGAAAAATGCGCAGAATTTAAAAGAGATAGATTCTAGGCTGAAATTAGATTCTGCGCAATTTTCTACGCAGACGACATCTTTTTTTTTTATAAATATATGTATTGCTATGTTTTGTTCTGTTTTTACATATACATAAATTACTTTTGTAATGTTTTAGTTTTCTCTAATATAAATGAGATATACCTGATCCAACTATCCACAAGTATTACGAAGAATTTTGCATCTTTACTTTTTTATAAATGAAAGCGTACGAACACTGCACCCGGCATTTTGCAAACTTAACCTATACCTGTCAAAAGCAAGTATGGATGCGAGCAGTAATATCACGAAGCGCTGTTAGCGCAATCTTTCGTCAAAGACGCCAACCGTACAAGAAATACATTGCCATTATTACATGTGTGTTGTGTACGTGTATATATACGTGTAGCATAATACCACTATATTCTATGCATGTGTTGTGTACATATATAGCGGTAAAGGGGCGACGACCAGGAAGACGACGATGATGATGACGATGATGAAGACGTTTCTTACATGAAAATTTCCACATTTCGACTTTGCTTCATAATATCTCTGCTTTATAGAACAGGCAGAGCGAAAATAAAGACACTTTCCTTATATAAATGCATAGATTCCCAAAGCATTAATATACTATTAACGGTTAATTTTATTCCCGCAAAGCAAGGAAATGAATTACCCGAAACTGTATGCCATTCATTAAACCACGAATACGATTCTCTTAAAAAACTTTCAATTTGTGGCTGCTTCTCAGATAATGCACATTTATAAGGATTCGAATCATACGCTCGACGGCTATTTAAACAGTCAAAAAGATCATTCATTCTTTTTATAAAATTCGCAGTTGCCTCACAAGCAGGATGTTTTAAATCACCCGTAATTTTACCTATAGTTAATGCGGCCGACACGGTTGCGCTAAAAACTTGCGTAGCTAAACTAACAGACATACGTTCAAAATTATTTGGATTTACATGACGATCAGTTAATTTAGGTGCTGCTCTACACATATTATTTCGCTCAAATTCTCGAAGTTCGCGTATAACATTCCACGAAATAATTTTTCCTTCAATAATAAAATCTTGTTTTAAAAGATTGTTTCGAATACTTTTAATAAGATGAGGCACGTCATAATTAAAAAAGATTTTATAGCCTTCTAACTCGAAATATGGGCGTTCTTCTGAAATATTTAAATATTTAATAGCTTTTTGATTTGTTGGTCCTTGATCACATACCATACTTTTCAATATAAGTCCTGTTTTTGATATTGACTCTATTATTTTAGTTAAAATAATACTTAAATCGCGTCCATGAACATTTCCATGTGAAGTAAAATAAGCTATAGGTTGTTTCCACGAACTTTTCAAACCTCGAAGCAGAAAACAAAGAGCATGTTTTGCAAAATTATTCGTTCTACCAAGATGTTCCAAATCTTGATATCCTTCTACAAGATCATCTTTGGAGTTATATTGAAGAATAGCTTTTATACTTATTTCGTCCCACATTAAAACGCATTCCTTTTCAAAATTACTCATATTTTCAGCCCATATTTTATATTAGATTCATGAATATACAGGGTGAGTCGTTTTAATCAACGCACGCAAATATCTCGTAAAGTAAGCAAGATGGAAAAAAATGTTTTATACAAAAGTTGTAGGGTTCAGAGGGGGACACATGATGAAAATATGAACTTGACCTTGAGTGACCTTTTCAAGGCCAAGTCAATGTGATCGATATTTTCTTAAATGGAAAGTCATATTTGTCAAAATTCAGAAAAGACCTTATTCGAAATAATTACCCTTTTTTGGTCTATAACTTTATATTTGGGCATCCTCCAACTAAAAATGGTTATTTATATTTCTTTCTAAACATAAAAAGTCCGTAAAAAAATTTGCAGCCCATTTGCAGGTGGAGCCGTGATTCTGAATAATTACCAAAAAAATAATTGTTTTTAAGGAAAAGTATGTAATTATGTACAATGTATTTTTTTAAAACAATTATTTGTTTTTTTCTTTACACTAATTTATTTGTCTCATTATTCTGTACATAAAAGTATTACGATAATATTATCAAAAACTAAATATCGAAAACTAAATATTTTACGAGATATTTTAATTTTTATATCAAAATATGTCAGATTAAAATATAAAATAACTCAAAAAGTACTTAATAAAAAAATACTTTATTATAGTGTTTTGAAAAGCTCTCGAAATAAGCTACAAGAATATGTAATAAAAAATGAGGGGTTCCATTTAAGAAAACATCGACCATATTGACCTCACCTTGAAAAGGTCACTCAAGGTCAAAGTTCCTTTTATCCTGATTGGTCAAATTTCAATCTTCAATACCTAGTCTGATACGGGCTTAAGGTTATATATAAAGGGTTAAGGGCCACCGCACAAGCTTTTCCGTAAAGCCCGCTCTACATTGATCGCATGTCGCCAGTCGCAAGCAAATCGACCAATCACAGTCGATTATTCCGTCGAATATTCGACTGTGATTGGTCGATTTGCTTGCGACTGGCGACATGCGATCAATGTAGAGCGGGCTTTACGGAAAAGCTTGTGCGGTGGCCCTAAATTTTTTTATGTGCCACGGCCCTAATTATGTCCAGCACGATCTGATGTACTATCCGTTTTAAAATTATTTATCTTTGAAAAATATTATTTTCACTTGGAATTTAATTTCTTAAATTCTATTTTTAATTAAACGATATTTTATTTTTGAAAGAAATAAATAAAATAAATATGGTAACAATTGATAATGTTCTGAGTTATCGTCTTGTCAATGCTCGACGTTGATTTGTTGACTCTAAACGTAAAAGCCAATCATGTTTGCTTGATTGCTACTAATTGTAAACTAATTGCTACTAACTTTGTTCTTCTGGACGCGTCTAACGACTGCGTTCCGAAATTCACTTCCAGTACTAGAAATTTATAATAATATAAATAGTAATATTTATAGTATATTTCCAATAATGGCAGTCAGTGAATTTCGGAACGCAGTCTTATATAGTCAAGTCAAAAAGCCACATGTTTGTAGTTGCGCGCACCGCGTACCGTCAACCGTCAGCTGTGTACCGCCCTGTTTTTGAGAGACCGAGCAGCCGAGCACGCACACGAGAAATTCTACATGCGTTTTGAATATCGCATGATTTGTCCGCAGCAGCACGCAGAATATCGAGCTGTCCAGAAAGCTTCAACAAACGCTTCGGTGAATCCAATCGCCGAAACAGTCGTATCGGAACGTGGGGTAAAAGAGTCGGTATAAAGCTGAACGGAGCAGTCGTCCACCGCAGCGAGCCAACATGCAGGAATCTCAGCCGAAAAAGGGCAAAAAAGGTTAGCTAAATCGGCGATGTCGCCGAACGATACAAATATTGTTTCGGGCATATTGTATCGTCGAATTAACGTACTTGTCGAATTAACATATGTACGCTTTCCTTTTCTGATGTGGCAAATGTCGTCTGCTACCTAACCTCAATCGCGAACAACATGTTCGCGTTACATACAGATTTTTACTAATTTTTTTTTCTTCTCGGTGCGACATATGGCGATTATGATATTCGATGTGTTCCATGTCGGTATCTACGCGATACTATGGATGCCTGAAGTGGAAAAAATTATACCACTAATTTTTGTAATACTAGTCCTTGACTTATTCCAATAATGTCCGATGTTAGGTAATATTATAAGCTCAAATTCTATGCACAAGAATGTGCATAAGTTTTATGAATTGATTGAAATTTCTGCAATATATGAGTCGCTCTGTCAGTTAATTAATTATATCGTAAGTGAAAGTTGTTCATTCTTGATGCGTAGTGAAAGTTGGTGACCTCTGAATTGTATCAGTTTCGTATATTATTATATCTATACTTTATCACAACTATAAATTTCTTAACCAATTTATTGTTTGTTTGAATATCTTTGAAAATGAAAAGTTACATTATTTATATTTATAAAATTATTAAATATTAATATATTAAGCTTTACATGTAGAATTATATTTTTATATGCATTATCTTTATACATTTATACTTATTAGTTTGATATCTTCAAAACCTTATCATCAACATCTTGTAGTTATTTTACATAAAACAGTTTTATATATCTTAATTTTTTATTTTCTTTTTCTTTTCTTTGCTATGTTTATACATACAGATCTTTTATTGAATTGAAGTTTTATTTTTTCATCAACAAAAATAAACTGATTTATGAAATTTTTTGAAACGTTGCACATTTTATTATATACACAATAAATTTGATTGTAATTCAGCTAGTGGCTATCAATATAAAAATGATATTTGTGATTTGTATTAATAGCTAGGAGAAAGCGCAATGATAGTGACGAAGACATTGAACAAGTATTGGCAGAGTTGGCACTGGAATATTCTGGAGAGAAATCAGTTAATGACAATAAAGTTGAAAACAAGTTGGAATCAAACGAGCAACAGATTGATGATGAAGATAAAAAGAAAAAAGGGAAAACGGATAAGAAGAAGGAAAAGGCTGAAAAAGATGACATTAAAGATGAAGCTACAGACAATAATATAATAGCATCATTAGACGATACTGATATGGACATTGAAGTTACTACTGTAAAAACAGCAGCGCAAAAGAAAAAGGAGAAGAAAGAAAGGGAGAAGCAAAAGAAATTGGCTCAAAAAAAAATAGTAAGTAAACAATATGTAATTTATTTATTTTATATAGAGGTATTTCTTTTATAAAATTTTTTTATTTATAAAGTAGTAGAGTATTTTTTTCTACATATACTATTGAAATTTGTATTATTTAACTTTTATTATGATAGGAAGTCACTAAGGAAACTAACAAGCAGGCAGAGAATGGTGAAACAATCAAAGCTACAGTCTTTGATGAGAAAACAAATGATAAAGTGGTATCTGAAAAGAAACAGGATACTGTGGAAGCCGATGGTGATATTGTTGAACCAGAAGATGGTTCAAAGAAGAAAAAGAAAAAAGTTAAGGAAGAAACTAAAGAAAAAGGTAATTGCATTAACTTATTAATATATACGTATATAAATATATATATATATGATTTTGTAATAGGCAAAGGTCCTGGAAAGAAAACTATTGCTGCTATGCAGGAGGCTTTAAGGAAATTAAAAGAAGAGGAAGAGAGATTAAAGCGCGAGGAAGAGGAAAGGATACGGCAAGAGGAATTACGGGAGCAAGCTAGGCAAGAACAATTGCGACTTGAACAAGAGCGTAAAGAAAAGAAGAAATTGAAAGAAAAACAGCGGAAAGAGAGGCTGAAAGCAGAAGGAAAGTTTTTGACTACAAAACAAAAGCAGGACAGAGCTAGAGCACAAGCGATGATTGAAGCACTTAAAGCTCAGGGTCTGGATTTGCCAGATGTAGGAGAAAAAAAGCCTAGACCAGGTATTTTGCAAATTGCATATATATGAAAAATATAACCAAAATTTATTATATAAAGTTATATTATTTATTATATAAAGTTATATTAATCATTGAATTATTTTAGGAACTCGAATCAGGCCAAACAAAATGAAACAACAAGGTAGTGTGGAGAAAAAAGAGGAAGAGAAAATTGAAACATCAGCGGCTCAAGTGCAAGTAGAAATTGTAGATGAACTGGTAAAGGAAATAAAGGAGGAGAAGAAGGAAGAAGATGATGTCAAGGATTCATGGGATGCCGACACCACTGAAGATGAACAGGAAGATGAAGGTATTACAATAATATATACACATTACAATTGTCATACAATTGTCATATAATTATGTTTGTATAGTGATTAGAATAATTACACATTATATTAATAAAATTTAGATAAATCGGACAATATTCTCAAGACATCCGAAACAGCGGCAGAAGCTGTTCAAAAAGTGTCTACTATTACTGAATCAGAAAAGAAAGAATCCTCCGAAAGTGAAATAGAAAGCGAAAGTGGGAGTGAATCTGAATCTGAAGAAGATAGTGAACAAGACAGTGAGGTGGAGGATAGAGTGCCAGATGCTGCACGTAAAAAGGAACGTGCAAGAGAACGAATTCAAAATCGTCGTATAGAAGCTGAAAAGAAGAAATCTTTAGATAATCTGAGAGCTGCCGTAGTCTGCGTTTTAGGCCATGTAGATACTGGCAAAACCAAGATTCTGGATAAACTCAGGAGAACGAATGTACAGGATGGAGAAGCTGGTGGTATAACTCAACAAATCGGTGCTACTAATGTACCGATTGAAGCTATCCAAGATTCGACAAAGCATGTAAAAGGCGTAAGTGTTTTTATTTTAGATCCAAGTCCTCAGATATTGAAGTCTTTTAAATATTTTACAACATACATTGTTTCTTCTCTTGTTTTTAGTTTGCTGACAAGAAATTTAAAATTCCTGGTCTCTTGATCATAGATACACCTGGTCACGAATCATTTAGTAACCTCAGGAGCAGAGGATCTTCTCTTTGCGATATAGCAATTTTAGTTGTAGATATTATGCATGGGTTGGAACCGCAAACTATAGAGAGTATCAATTTATTGAAAGTAAAAAAATGTCCTTTTGTTGTTGCCCTTAATAAAATTGATAGGTAATTTTTCGCATTAAGTGATCAATTTGCTATTGCAATTAAATAATATACATTTTAGAAATATATCGTCATGATTTAATCTTTTCAGGTTATACGATTGGCAAACTATGAGTCGTAAGGATGTTCAAGATATAGTGAAGAATCAAGCACCTAATACTCAGCGAGAATTCGAAAAGCGGTCAAAGGACGTAATTGTGCAGTTTGCTGAACAAGGTCTCAATGCGGCATTGTATTATGAGAATCCAGATCCTAGGAATTATGTATCTTTAGTTCCTACCAGTGCTATAACAGGTATAGAATAAGTTACATATGCTTCAAGATGAGACATAGCATTTGATGAAAATATTAGAATGACTTTTCACATTTTGTTGTATCACAATACACAGGCGAAGGCATGGGTAATCTGTTGGCATTAATAGTTGATGCCTGTCAGGGTCCTCTGGCTAAGAGATTGATGTACAGTGAAGAACTTCAGGCTACCGTATTGGAGGTCAAAGCATTGCCTGGACTCGGCACTACGATAGATTGTATTCTAGTCAATGGAATGTTAAAAGAAGGCGATACAGTCATTATCGCTGGTACGGATGGGCCTATTGTAACGCAAATTCGCTCGCTTCTTATGCCGCAACCGTTAAAAGAATTAAGAGTTAAGGTAATTTATCAAATCTGTTACATTCTGTGAGTTGAAAATAATGAAATGTTATTCATTAGTTATTTTTTTCTGTATATCTTTTATTTGTATATCTTTTTGTAATATAATATTTATTGTATCGTGTATATATATCGTTTTTCATTCCACAGAGTGCGTATATCGAACATCGCGAAGTCAAAGCAGCTCAAGGAGTGAAAATTGCCGCAAAGGATTTAGAGAAAGCCATTGCTGGTATGCAATTTACTTTCAAGATTATTAATGATTGGCTTTTTTGATAGTCACAATGCAAAAATATATTATGTATATATATATATATTTGTTTTTATATTTGAAAAATTTAGTAACACGAATTAATATTTATGTACAGGATTGAATTTGCAAGTTGCACAAAAACCAGATGAAGTGGATGTATTAAAAGAAGAAATAGCAAAGGAATTATCTAGTGCTCTTGGAAATATACGGTTAGCTGAACGAGGAGTTTACGTCCAGGCGTCAACTTTGGGAGCCCTTGAAGCATTGCTAGATTTTTTGAAGACCAGTAAAATACCGGTGAGTACCTTTAAGTATTTATCTATCTATCTGAAAGTTATCTTTTCATTCTAATATGTGAGATAGACATCACACACACACACACACACACACACACACACACACACACACATATATATATATATATATATATATATATATATATGTGTGTGTAAGTGCACGAGCGTATATGCATGCATGCAGATACGTGTGCCATCGCATCCCGCCTATATATATATATATATCTGTGTGTGTGTGTGTGTGTGTGTGTGTGTATATATATATAGATTGATGCAAATTATATAGATTGTTTGCGAATTATTAAGAGATTGATATCTCTATATCAGTATATATATATAGACAGATGCCTTTCCTATTAAATATATGTTGTTTACACAATCTCTTTTTAATAAGTAAAACTGATAATATCATTATCTTGATATTATAGTTTTATCAGAGATTAAGGTATTTAAGTATCAAATTTATCTACATGTATATAAACGTGCAATGTATATCTCTATAATTCTGTAAAGACAAAAAGTTCCTATAATTAGGTTTTTTTTATAATTGGTATAATAATATTTCCATTTACAATTACATTTTTTACAATTTATTTATATAATAAAAGACTAGTGCACTCCTTGTGCATATAATGTACATAGTAAAGGATTTCAAAATCTCGAGAAATATCCAGACTTGTGACTATATAAATAAATAAAACAGATATATAT